TGAAGATTTCCTGCTTCATTAAGGGGTTGTACTGAAGGATCCTTTAGATCAGTGGTTCTTAACCTTTTTACCCAGGTGTTTTTGAACTGCAAATCCCAGAAACCCCAGCTAGCAGAGCTGATGGTGAAGGCTTCTGGGATTTGCAATCCAAAAACATTTGAGTAACAAAGGTTAAGAACCAGTGCTTTAGATGATATTAGAAAGTAAGGATATCCTGAATATGAAAAAGAGACATGAGCAAGAGTTGAACATACAGACTAGGATCTTGTTGGATTTTACTGTGCATGTAAGGTAAGGTCAATCTTACATGCAATTTCCTCTGTTTGCATGCTCTCTGGAGCCTGACTGTGTGTGTGATTGGTTGTGTGCTCATTTGTGGAAACCAGAACACGACCAAGCATGTGATGGGTAGCCTTGCAAAAGAGCAGATACCTCTTAGGCAATGGCTCCTGCACATCCAGTGTCTGCAACAGGACACTGGCGATAAATTAACGAAGATGAATACTTTATTGCTTTGTATCTGATCAGGCTGTAGGCAAGAACATAGATTAAACCAATCCTGAAATAGGATTTGGCATCTCATTCATGCAGGTACATACAAGCAAACACAAAAAGCATAAAATGATAAAATAATACTAGTAAAATGTAATAGCATTCTGAAAAAAGAAGAAAAAATCAAGGTGTGGGATTACTGTATTTTTCCATGTATAAGATACTTTTGTCTTAAATCTTTAGACTAAAAATTGAGGCGCATCTTATACACGGAAGTAAGTTGAGGAGAGAACAAAAACAAGTGGAGGGGAAAGCAGGGATCAAAGCGATCCTACAGCGCTTTGATCCCTTTCCCCCTACACTTGCTACGCCCCACTTATTTTTCTTAATTTTGGATTAGAAGAGTGGGGGGCATCTTATACATGGGGGTGTCTTATACATGGAAAAATGGTAACTTGAAGAATTCATGAAACAGGCAGTAAGTTCCACCTTTCCATGGCTCGTTTAACAAATTTAGCAGTCCTATAGGATATATAATAGTTTGTGCCAGCTAGCAGGAGTCAGACTGCACATAGAGGAGAAGTGTTCTTGATCCTGGCTGTTAAGGGCTTTAGATATGGGTCCCTCAGATCTACGTACAGAGGACATGCTGTTAGAAAGTGTACCATGTCCTAGATAAATTAACAATAAAGAAAGGAAAAACAAAATTGAGTTAAAAACAGGGAAGCTTAGAAAAGGGGAAGAGTCAATGTTGTATATATTTCTTTGCAGGCCCACACTGGGGTTGGTAGCACAGGAATGGGCAAATGGTCGGCCTCCCCAAAGTTGACGGACTCCAGGTCCCATTGCTCTTGGCCTGTAAAGCTGATTGTCAGGGATGATGGGATTTGTATACCCATAAGATTGAGAAGTCCATCAGTTGCCCAGCCTTATTACGGTATGTTTCGTGTTATTCCAAATACAGTCAAGAACAAGGTCCCCATATTAGTTGGATTTTTGTCTCTTTTTCCAGTCTGTAATCGTCGATATTCGCGGGCATCCAAAGTCAGCAGTTCTCGTTTTCTTTGTTTCCCAGTTTTGCAACATCGTACATTTAAAAGTTAGCGTGGCCTTGTTAAAACAATGAGCCCGACTGCCATGTGGATTCCAGGAATTTATCCACTAAAACTTGTGATTGATTTGTTGGTTGACTCTGTCTGGTAATAAATGCCCTCTCGGTAGTGTAAAAAGCATGAAAAATAGAAGGCAGGAATCATAAACAATGTTGAAGGGGACAGCATGTAATGAAGTGAAGACAAAATGAGTAACAGAAATGAAAAAAAATGATGACACAAAAACCAGAAGTAAAACAGTAGACTAAGCTAAGACCTTGTGCCACAGAAACAAAACAAAATGGGACAGAAGTATTGTGGCAGCTTTAAGAGTAACAAATTTATTTTGCCATCAAGCATTATAGTCCCCTTCTTAAGATATATCTGATGGGAGAAGGAGTGGAGTGTGGTCCATGAAAACTCTCTGTTTTGCTTCATTACTGAAACAGACTTAACACAACTACATCTCGGGGGATGGGGAGTTCTTAAAATGTATAGGACAGTGGTTCCTAACTGTTGGTTCTTCGATGTTCTTGGACTAAAATTCCCAGAAATCTCTTCAGCACTAGCTGGCCTGGTCAGGATTTCTGGGAGTTGTAGTTCAAGAACATCTGGGGCCCCAAGGTTGGGAACCACTGGTAGAGGAGAATAAAAGGCATGTTATTGCTGTGTTGAAAAGACCACGATATATAGGTGACAGGTGAGGTCAAGAGAGAAGGCTTTCTGCAGAATGGGGTGCCACCATGTAGCCAGGCATCCTTGTAGACGGCGTCATTTGGTGAGGGCGCCGAGAGGAGGGTCTTAGATGATGGGGTTAAAGTTCTGATGGGCAAATATGAGAAGGCTCCATCTGAAGCAGGGGTTCTCAGTCTGCCTGGATCCTGTTGAGATAGCATTCAAAATGTGCTGTGATAGGTAAGGTATTTGGACTACAGGTAAGGTTGGAGCAGTGGGGTCGTAGTCCCCACACTGCAGAAAAACCCAGAGTGTGGATCTGGTGAGCAGTACTACACCGTTGGTCAAGATAGGTGACAAGTACTCTCTCATAACCCATATTTTTTTGTTGCACTTACCTGTTGTGATACGGAATTTTGTTGTTGTTGTTTAGTCATTAAGTCATGCCCGACTCTTCGTGACCCCATGGACCAGAGCACGCCAGGTCCTCCTGTCTTCCACTGCCTCCTGGAGTTGGGTCAAAGTGATACGGAATAGCCTGAATAATTATCCACTAATGTGAAAATGGGCCAAATCGGTGATGATCCACCCTCACCTTTCAGAAACTTTTTTGAAAAGTTGTTTAATTCATTATTTTTATTTATATCTCTTACGTTTCTTCAGTGTACACTGAAGACATGGCTCTTCCTCTTCCACTTTGTCCTCACAACACCCCTGTGGTGTAGGTCAGGTTGAGAGACCGTGGCTGGTCCAAGGTCATGCTGTGAGTTTTTGTGAGTTGAACCTTGGTCTGCCGAGTGGAGGGGAAAGCAGGGATCACCACACTGGCTCACCACTTATCGTGAGAGACATCTCAAGTAGGCCAAGAGGAGAGCAGTTCAATATAGCCAGTATGGTGTAGAATAGGGGTGGGCAATCAATTTCTATAGGGGGGCCACTTGAAAAATCTGAACTGTGTTTGGGGGCTGAACCAATTTTACTTAAAATGAAACAGTGATGTTATTATTGTTTTTATTTCAAACTTGATAATCTTCACAAATACTAAAGAGGATTTTTGCGGTATGTTAAAGATAAGCAACTGATAAACTTTAGACAAAAAGCTGTAAATGGTTTTGATGTTCAAAACTGTCCGTGGGCCGGACAGAAGTGGCTCGCGGGCCGTATGTGGCCCTGAGGCTGCACTTTGCCCGAGGTCTGGTGTAGAATCATAGAATCATGAAGTTGGAAGAAGCCTATAAGGCCCTGGAGTCCAACCCCTTGCTCAATGCAGGAATACAGTGTAGTGGATAGAGTGATGGATTAGGACTCAGGAGATCTGGGTTCAATTCCCCAGTTATCCCATAGGAGCTCACTGGGGATCTGGAAGCCCTCCTCAAATATCTCACTTACCTTAAAAACCCTGTTAGGGTCACTGTAAGTCGGTTCTGACTTGACAGCACACAATGTAAGTGCAGCTGTCTCTATTCAGGCCTTTATTCAGGTGACTGCCAATCATTTTCTCTCTCATATTGTTGCCTGTACAATTAGGTCACTGTTTTAGGAAGTCCGCAGGCTGGGAATATTTAAGTCTCTTTGCAAGACTGAGTAAGCGATAGGTCTAGTGGAAAGGGTTTGCTTCTTTTCCGCTTTCTAAAGAAAAACACTGATGTGTATGAAAATAACACACACTGTCTAGATGCCCTTACATAAATAACTGGAATAAGATAGTGTTTTTTTTAAAAAGAGAATAGTATCAATAAAGAGCTTTTCTGATAGGCAGGTAGAGCTCTCAATCACAAAACTATATTATCCCCTTCCCCCCATTGTTCCATGGGGACCCTGGGGAAATGGGACACGTTTAAAGGGACAGATATGTCTAGTCTCGTGGAGTTCCATGGGATCAGCATCTCCAGAAGCAGCTTCGCCTGGGAAGTTTGTCTTACAGGCAAAATCAAATAGCTTGTGCTGTTGAATGCATTTGTTAACAGCTGCAGCTGCAGTCCCTGCAGGAGAGGGGAGATCAGCTCCAAGTCTGGGGCAATCAACTTTTGACCCTGTCAGTCAGGACCCACTTAGTTGACTCAACTTTTAAACTCCTTTCTGGCCAAATAGGTGTTGGTGCTGGGAAAGGGATTCTGTGTCTGGTTGTAAAAATATCTGAAAAGATATTTTAAATAGAGAGACCAGCTATGGTGCTCACCGCCATTCACACTTGTTTAGAAACAGCTCAGCCAGTTGCTTTGGGTCTTGGTGAGAAGTGGTTGACTGATGGAAAAAAGGAGTCGGCCCCTGGGATTTTCCCTTGCTTGGTGTCACATTGTGAATGGTAATGAGCACAAGAGGGGATCCTGTAGCCCATCTTGACTGCTCCTGTTGGTGTTGACAACATCCAAGCTGCCATTAGCCATTTCCTTTCTTTTTGATTCTGGGGTACAGAAGCACAACATCCTACATTCATAAACTGGAGGTTTTTCAAATAATTGAATAGTCATGTTTTTCTCTATATAAAGACACGGCTGCACATTTGATAGAGAACGGCAGACGTACAGAAGCTTGCATTCCTTATATGTCTGCATGCTCACATATGTTCACAGATGCATACTTCTTGGCACCCATATACACCGTGTTATGCAAATAGATTTGTCTCTTTAAATCTTGCAGTACCAACGTCAGTGACAAGTCTGAGCCCTGACGATTTCTGCAGCTCCATCTGTCAGTTTCTCTTTAGTCTGATGCCTTCCCTGGCAGTTATGTAATGGGGATTACTCTGGCAGCGCATTTGAAGGTAAATCTGCCGTTGGGCTTGCCAATTGCCGGAGTCACTCAGACCTAAAAGTGCTTTTGGTTTTCCACCAGACTTCCGGCTTGTGTTTCAGCTTCGGCGAAGGATGTTTTTAAGACGCTGAAGCAGACAACAGTGTTTCCGAGATGAAATTTGCTTAAGGGATTAACCCAATTTGCTTCATTTTATATAGTATCAGCATTTGGGACAGAGGTGATGACTCAAAGATAGAACGTATGTTTTGTATACAAAAGGTTCCAAGTCACCTCAGCACCATTTCAAGGTAGAACTGAGTGGAAATGTGAAATTTGAGAAGGCCTATGTTGAAAAGAACAGTTTAAGATTTTTTCTTCTGATGTTTTGGGTACTTTCCACCCCATCAAGCTTGAATACTTCATTAGGTAGTATATCGAATTGTTCTGCTTGGCCTGCTTAGGTAAAAGTTCACCTTGAAATTTAGTCCAGTCGTGTCTGACTCCAGGGGGCGGTGCTCATCCCCGTTTGCAAGCCATGGAGCCAGTTTGTCCGAGGACAGTTTCTGTGTTCACGTGGCCAGCGCGACTAGACCCGGAATGCCGTTACCTTCCCACTGAGGTGGTACCTATTTATCTACTCGCATTTTTACGTGCTTTCGAATGGCTAGGTTGGCAAGAGCTGGGACAAGCGACAGGAGCTTCCTCTGTTGCATGGATTCGATCTTACAATGGCTGGTCTTCTGACCTTGCAGCACAGAGGCTTCTGCAGTTTAACCTGCAGCGCCACCACATCCCTTTGGCCTACTTATGATGTCTTATAAAGTGGTTAGATTCATATCCTATGCGATCTAAAAAAACACAGAATTGCAGAATTGTGAATGCAGAGTGCCATACCCTATGCGATCTAAGCTTTTAACATCTGAGGGGGAGTGTATGTGGAAAAGGGCAAAATTCTGCTGCATGAATTTGCCCCCAATGTAACCTGGATCAGGCTGAGGAAATATTTGATTTTAATTAATTAATATAGTTTTTAATATAGTTTTACCCCATCTTTCTAATTAATATAGTTTTACCCCCTAATTAATATAGTTTTACCCCACCTTTCTGCTCAAAAGGGCTCAAAGCAGCTTACATCATTAAAAAGACAATGTTTAAAGGCTAGAAACAGTAACTGTGCGGATATTTAAAAAGAACTAAACAAATATTCTATCAAAAATAGTAAATAAAATCAATATTGAAACCACATTTACAAGGAACACGGTTTTGAAAACTTCCTATCCTCCTGATTTAGGTTTCAAAGGTCCGTAGCGCCTCCTTTTGCCCTGGGAAGCCTTTGGGAGCCTCAGAAGGGGGGGAGGGGTTGCTTTAAAAGTTTTTAAAAAATCACCACTGGATTTGCATTGCTGCGATGGGGAGCAATGCTCCTAATTTGACAGTGAAGTCAAAGGCTTCGCCTCTCCATTCCTGAGGTTCCCAAAAGGGAGCCCTAAGGATTCTCAGAAAATAGGATGCAGGGGCAGGAAGCCGCCTAGAGTGGTCTTATAGGCCAGATGGGTGGGGTATAAATAAATAAATGAATAAACAAATAAATAAACAAATAAATAAATAAATACATTTAAATTAAGTGTTTCTGACACCTGATTCAGGTTACACGGGGTGCAAAGTTGTACAACAGGTTCCCCCCCAAAAATGTATTATCCAGCCGAAGCTTCAGTTGCCTCCACCAAAGGGGAACAAAGATCAGCAGAAGAAGGTCAGCAGCAATCCACAAGCAATGAAGCCGGCACCCCTTCCCCCTATGATCATGCTCCTCTCCTGAAGATGGCGTTGTCACTAGGTTCCTAAATGCTGCCCCCAACTGGGCATAAATGCAACAGCATGGACATTGCAGCATTGTCGTGGCCCATTGTGCAGCTACGGGTCCTGCTTGTCAAAGTGGATGGAAACTTATGGTTGTTGTGGGTTTTCTGAGCTCTTTGGCTGTGTTTTGAAGGTTGTTCTTCCTAAGGTTTTGCCAGTCTCTGTGGCCGGCATCTTCAGAGGACAGGAGTAGCACTCTGTGCTCTGCTGCAGTTTGTTTGGGAGTTGAGTATTTATAGCTGTGGGATCAGCTTTTGTCCTTTTCAGGAGATGGGTGATTATGGTGATCAGTGTGTCACAGCAATACACCCACAACAGAAACACACTGATCACCATAATCACCCATCTCTTATGTGCCCTGATTTAAATGTTAGATTTTTTTTTAGATTTTGCATGGCTGCCTCTGCCTCATGAGTTCATAAATTCACCGTTGGGGAGGATCTAGCCTATGAGGGATGCTTTTTGTGTTAGAAATGTTCAGTTGAGAGATGGTAAAGATTAAGCAACAGGATGGGCAGTTGAGCAACAGGATGGGCAGCAACTGATCACTTCATGGCCAAGATGATTAAAAACTATCAAATTCTAAGGGCTGAATTATTAACTGGAGATTGATTGGGTGATTAATTACATGATCAGATAAGCTCATTGGCAGTGGACTTTTCCTGGAATCTTTTTGGTTATCTGATAAGTGGTCATTCTTGGCTCAGCAAAGAATATGGCCTAGGTTTATAAAACCACAGCAGGGGCATTTGGTAGCTGATGCCTTTTTCAGGGCTTTTCCCCTGTTTTTTTTTCTTTCTTTCCTTGCTGGGGAAGAACCAGAGGGATGAGGAGGTGGGCACTGTGTTATTTTTGTGCCCATTTGGGTGAAATCCAGTGTCCATTTACCTAACAGTAAGCCCTACTGCAGGTATACCCAGTGTGGTGTAGTGATTTGAGTGATGAACTCGGACTCAGCTGGCTTGGGTTCAAGTTTCTGCTCTGCGAGGGAAAGTCACTAGGGGTGTGGAACCACTAAAGCCACTTTTTAAATATCTCATTTACCTCAAAAACCCTTTTAGGGTCGCTGTTAGTCAGTTTCAGCTTGATAACCCATAAGAACAGCAAGCCCTACTGTAGTCCGTGGGTCAAGTGTTTCAATAGACATGCATGGGATTCTGTAGATTCAGTATTGCATAATACTCAGCAGTAATTCTTTTCTGCACCATTACAATTAACTGCCATTTTGTATGAATGTCCTTCATTCCTGTAAGCAAATTGCTGAAAAGCACGACATTTCTACTGTTGTGTTTTCCGCTGCGGTGTATCTTATATTCAGCTCCAGGTGCTTTGAAATGAAATCACATTTTACGAAATATTAAAAATGATTAGCTCGGCGGTAGGAAGCCTGCAAGCTAGAAGGGGAAGGGAAGAGAGACTCACTAATATTTGTTACAGGATGAAATAATTAATGTTGCTTGCAGGAGGGTTGTTTCAAAGGGCTCGGAATGAGATGGCAAAGGAAAAGTCCTGGAGAGAACTGCAGGAGAGGCTGAGTCGGGGACATCCTCCAGCGAACCCAGCAGCAGATGGCAGGAACGGAAAAAGTTCAGTGGCAGCTGAGCTTCTCAGCAAGGTGGCTCAGGGTTGCTAGCGTGTGGCCGCGAAAAAGCCAATTTAGTCTAAAGCAGAATGAACAAAAAAAGAGAGCCCTCTTTAGCTTTTGAAACAAAGCAGGCGACTCCAGTTTCACAGGAACAAATCAGCTCCAAGTCCTGAATGAACTTTTCAACTGCTGTCCATGGTGCTGAACCATAACTCCAAAATAGCTCCTTTAAACTCAAACTCATGCTGTAGCTGAGTTGTTGTTCTTGTTTTTGATGGTGCTGTTTTCATGGGCCGTCAGGCTGCATCTGATACTCTAAGGCAACCCTAAAAGGGTTTTTGAGGCATTTGAGATATTTAAGGAGTGGTTCTACCAGTGTCACCTCCCTGTGAGTTTCCATGGCCAAGCGGGGATTTGAACCCGGGCCTCCTGAATCCTAGCCCGGCGCTCTCTGTTCACTCCACCACGCCACACTGGCTCTTCAGGAAGCAGATTTATCCCATCAAAAGTTGGAGTCACCAGCCTCAATTGGGATGCAGTTGGGACTTACGGCGAGGGCCACTGCTGAGGACGAATGTAGAGTTGCAGAACTACTAACAGAACCCTCCTTCCTCCTTCTGCTCATGCGTGGTGCAAGCAGTTCAAGAATTAACAGAACTTGCATAAGGAACTATGTAGGCTGTCCTTATACAAGTGGAAGCACTGTTGGCACAAATGAGTTAAAGTTCTGAGCCACAAGGAAACTGATTGCTGATAAAAGGTAAAGGTAAAGGTTTCCCTTGACATTTTTAGTCCAGTCGTGTCCGACTCTAGGGGGCGGTGCTCATCCCGTTTTTCAAACCGTAGAGCCAGCGCTTGTCCGAAGACAGTTTCCATTATCACGTGGCCAGCGTGACTAGGGAACGCCATTTTACCTTCCCACCAAGGTGGTACCTATTTATCTACTCACATTTACATGCTTTCGAACTGCTAGGTTGGCGAGGAGCTTTCCTTCCTTCCTTCCTTCCTTCCTCTCTCTTATTTATCTTTTTTATGCACATTCCCTTCACAAAGTTTGCAATTGCTGCCTGTCAATGCATCCAACTCAGTTATCTTTCTTTTCCTCCCTCCTTTCTTTTAGAAAACTACTGAAAGATTGTTGTGACCCAAGCCAGCTCTTTGCCATGACCAAAGAGAACTCTCCGGTGGGAAAGAATCTCTGGTACGATGGCGAATTTCTGTACTCCTTCACGATCGACAATGAGACCTTCTCGCTTTTCCCGAAGGTTTGTAAAAAAGTTGTTCTGCTCTAGTGTGAAATCCTCTAATTTCCTACATAACTAAATGTAGCATGTGTAAAGACTTTTCTATGGTAAGGAACGTGTCTTTAGATGTCTACATTAAAAGAACAGGGTTTAGTATTTGTATAGATCTGGTACCTGGTTATCAATGGCTTCCGGAGCTTTGCTCTTTTCCCATGGGTAGCCACTTGATAGCCATGCAAGGAGACTCGTCCTCCCTCCCACTGCCTGGAGTGGCCAGGCCAGCAGAAAGAGAGCAGAGCCCTGGAAGCGATGGGAAGGATGAGCGACGCTGCTGCCGGCAGGCATGTGAGTGAACGGGCCAGCCACAGGAGTCCGACCCCTCGTTGTCCAGCTGCATGGGGATATTCGTATACACAGCAGAAAGAGAGCAGAGCCCTGGAAGCGATGGGAAGGATGAGCGACGCTGCTGCCGGCAGGCATGTGAGTGAACGGGCCAGCCACAGGAGTCCGACCCCTCGTTGTCCAGCTGCATGGGGATATTCGTATACACTTAGGAATACCCCCATTTCTACCTCTGAAGAATTTTATTACTGTATATTGGGTCTGTCCTTCTGTAGGCATTGGTTAACTTGCCCTTTAAACCAGTGGCCCTCACCCTTGTGTCTCCAGATGTTCTTGGACTACAACTCCCAGAAATCCTGGCCACCTGGGGAGTTTTGGTCTAAGAACATCTGGGGACACAAGGCTGGAAACCATGGGTTTAAGACAGCTGATTTGGCACTTGAACAGTGATTTTTTTGTGAGCTGGTGAGTCTTTCAGTTCCAAGTCTTAATTAATTGCACTGCTGTTACAATCAATTTCACAGCTGGTCCTCTGTCTTGAAAAACAGCAACATTCCAGGAGACCAGTAAATCACAGTAGACAATACTGCAGAGTTTCCATAGACTTTTGTTCCATGTAAAATGTGTGTGATAGCATTGGGCTACTTTATAGGGCTGGCATGACCCATAGTTTCCCAACCCCAGCCCCATCTTGGGGTACATATTAGGTCAAGGCAGAGTTTGGACAAATTCCTGTTTTGCAGCTCCTAAAATCCCCGAATATGTGAGTGTGTTCTAGGCGTTGTAATCAAAAAACAACTTTAAGTATAAGAAAATTGTAGTGCAATGCAGTGGAATGTAAGAGTAAGGAGTAAATAGTGGGAGATGTGAATGGTGAAGGCAGTTGGTACTTGTGGTTAGAAAGAAATTAATATTAAGGGGGGGAATAGAAATGCTGAGCTGCACATCTAAGAAACTGCTGGATAATTTCTCTTCTTGCTGTTGACCCCATCTCCTTCCACCTCTGTTATAAACAGGGTGGAAAATTCCAAGAGGCCTTTTTTTGTACAATTGCATTTTACTTCTGGCTCTAGCTCTCTCAGGGTCTTTCTCTGGTACGGAGACTACCTTTGCCAGGAGAGAGACAGGGGGAGTGTGACCCTGTTGATACTCCTGGACCTCTCAGCGGCTTTCGACACCATCAACTATGGTGTCCTTCTGGATAGGCTGGCTGGGTTGGGAGTCGGTGGCACCGCTTTACGGTGGTTCCACTCCTTCCTGGCTGACCGTGTCCAGAGGGTGGTGCTGGGGGACAGTTGCTCTGCCCCATGGCATTTATGTCATGGGGTTCCTCAGGGCTCGATACTGTCCCCCATGCTGTTCAACATCTACATGAAACCGCTGGGAGAGGTCATCAGGAGGTTTGGGCTGAGGGGTCAGCAAAATGCTGACGATACTCAGCTCTACCTCTTGTTTTCCACCAATCCAGGTGAGGCGGTTTCTGTGCTGAACTCTTGTCTGGACCTGATAATGGACTGGATGAGGGTTAATAAATTGAAACTCAGTTAAGACAAGATGGAAGTGCTGTTAGTGGGTGCTTTTCCGGACAGGCTGGAGGGTGATTGGCTACCAGTCACTGCCTGGGCCCAGTTCAGAGTGCTTGTTTTGATGTAGAAATCCCTAAACGGCTTGGACCCTGGATACCTGAAGGACCACCTCCTTCCATATAAACCTACCTGGCAGTTAAGATCTAGCCAGGGGGCCCTTTTGAAAGAGCCCTCCCTCAGGGAGGTAAAAGGGATGGCTTGTAGACAAAGGGCCTTTTCGGCAGTTCCTCCCAGACTATGGAACGCCCTCCTGACTAAGATTCGTCTGGCGCCGTTCCTCCCAGACTATGGAACACCCTCCTGACTAAGATTCATCTGGCGCCGGCGCTGATGACCTTTCGGCGCCAGGTCAAAACTTTCCTGTTCCAGAAGATTTTTAATTCAAATAATATCAACTGTGGGGCCTGATGGGAATTTTTAGAACATTGTATTTTAATTGTTTTATCTTTTTATTGCATTTAAATTGGTACCAAAGGCTTGGACTCAGATGTAGAACTTGGACCAAAAGTTCCACCTCAAACTTTCCCAAGTCATCTCAGGCCGGCCAGCCTGCTCAGTGGAGGAAGTGTGTGTGTGTGTGTGTGTGTGTGTGTGTGTGCGCGCGCGCGTGTGT